AAGCAATTTAGCCAGATCATGTCTCAAAATAAAAACTATAACAGATGAAGATGTAGCTCCATGATAGAACAGATCTGCACTCAATATCCACTACCAAAAAAGAATGATATTTTGGTTTTATTTGTTTTTAATCAGAACTTTTGGATATACCCCAAACTTACTTTGGTGTCTATGAAATATAATGCATTTTTGTTTGTATATATATATATATATATATATATATATATATATATATATATATATACAAATAAAAATTTTAGCCTGCTTTTAGTGAAATCAAATATGCACCTTAATCTTCATAATACAATGAATTGTATTATACTCATTCTCATTTTTAATGAAGTTATATGTTTAAAATTCTTCATCCTTCATTGAGCATTCCAATAGATATTCAGGTCTCAAATAAAAGATGAGAGGAAAGGAGGTAATTGAAAGAAGGCAATTTAAATTTTTGAAAGCACATAAAATAAGTAATAAGGGAGAAAAGAATTTATGATTGTAAAATCAATATATGAGGATCTGGGTGCTCTGAAGCCATTGTACCCAGTTCTTATAGTGGTGACAAACTTGTGCTGGGGTTGCTGGACCTGGACTAAAATTGGCTCTACCAGTTGGCTAGATGATGTTTGGAAATATGATTCACTTGAAAGATAATAATACCATGGAGTTATTTCTTATTTTAGGGCTAAAAATAAATAATATACAGAGTACTCTTGGTAGAGAGTTCAGGGAATTGTTTACTAAATTAGAGATGTTGTCATAATTATAATTACAAGGGCATTTAATCCACTGGGAAGAAACTTCTTTTAAAAAGAAAAAAACAAACTACAAGCAGATTAGAGATCACTGTTATAATAGAAGTGTAYACTCTGTAAGTACTCCAGAAGAAAAATAGTAATTCTCACTGATGAAAATAGCAATCATTTCATGGGAGAAGTAGGATTGGCCCTACTGTTCAACTTACTCAGTTGATTAGTAATTAAAAGGGGTAAATAATCATGGAGAAAGTACCAAGCTAAACCTACCATGAACATTCCATAAAMATGCTGAGCATAAACAATACCTTCACCTGTTCTCTGGGTTTGCCAGAGAACAGGTGAAGGTATTGATGGGATGAGGTGAGGAATTGAGAAGGAGAGCCAAAGGAGTGAGAATGTTAAAGAACAATAGGGAAAGGCTATGGGATAGGAATGAACTGGACATTATTACCCTGTGTGCATATATGATTATACAACCAGTGTAAGTCTACATTGTGTACAATCAGAAGAATAAGTTATACTCCATCTATGTATGATGTGTCAAAATTCATTCTACTGTCAAGTATAACTAATTAGAATAAATTTTTTGAAAAAGAATAATAGGATATCAGTTGAGACCTAGAACGTCATGCTAAGGACTTTTGTGTTTGTTCTATAATAAAATAAGCAAGAAAGTCATTGAGCAAGAAAGTTGAAACTAATATATACTCTGTCATCTCCTAGATTATTACACTTCAATGCCCCAAAATGTAGTTCATCTTCAGATACTTCTAAGCAGTCTATGTCATTCCTTATAGAGAAGGTCCAATTATTCTCTGAATCCAAAACTAAACGGTTTCTGTTACTGATGAAAATGCCATGATTAAGAAAGGGGATGAGGATGAGTGGAGAGAAGACTTGATTTTATTTTTTATTATTAAAAATAAAACTAGTTCTAGAGCAAGAAATGAATGTTAAATAATCCAAACATCTTAGTCAGCTCTTCATCGCTGTCATCAACATATCCAAAAGACCAAATTARGGGAAGAAAAGTTTATTTTGCCTTATGGTTTCAGGGGCTCAGTTCATGGTCAGCCAATTCCATTGCTCTGGCCTTAGGTGARGCAGAAGAGTGTGGCAGAATAAAATAGCTCAGAACATGGTGGCCAGGATGCAGAGAGAGAGGGGGTGGGCAGGAGGGCTTCAGGGAAGATGAGCCCTTTCAGGGCATGCTTCCCAGTGACACAACTCCTCCAGCCACAGCCCACCTGCCTACAGTTACCACCCAGTCAGTACATTCACACTAGCATTGACTGATGACCCTCATCATATAATCATTTCACCCTCTGAAAATCCCTGTTTTAACAAACAGGAGCCTTTGGAGGATTCCCCATATCCAAACCATAACATCAAAGAAAAACAATTTAAGGTAGGGCTTTATCTTTATAAGTATATATGTAAATGTTTAAATTGTTAAATGAGCTTTACAATAATAAGAGGTGGAAGTGTAATAAATGAACTTTTATTACTACCAAAGGTATAAACATCAGGATGGAAAGGAAGTACTAGGTTSGGGCCCAGTGAGGATAATGAGAAAGAATCAGAGTAACTTATATCACCAACTTTGATAATAAACATGACTTCTTAACAATTCCACATATTCATGTACACACAGATTTTTTCTCCTATAAGAGATAAAGCTTCTTCCTGTACTTTTGACCTAGGGTAAGGTCTATGAATATGTTAACCTATAAAATGTAGAGGAAATTAATCTCTGTGACTTTGGAGTTTAGGCATTAAGAAGACCAGGCAGCTTCCAACTCTTCTTTATTGATGCCTTGAACTACTATATGATAAATTCAAGATACCTTACTGGAGTTAGTAAACACATAAAGGGGCCATAGAAGATTAGAAAACATGGAGAGAGGGAACAAGAGGAAGCACCATGGCCTGAAGCATCCAGCCACAGTCACCATTTGACTTCCACTACCTGGGAAATCACAAGTGAWAAAAGTACAGAAATAGCTCTGGGGATCCCCAGCAAACCTCTGAAAACATGAGATGGAATCATGGTTGCTGTTGTTTATGGTAATTTATTACACATTAGTGGAAAACTGAAACAAGAGAGCTATTGACCAGTGATCATGCCTCCAGAACACATCAGTTCTCTATAGACAGCAAATAATTCCTATGAAGAAAGTATTAGTAATTCTTATGCTATTTCTATATCTCAGATGGCAGCAAGTATGATTTCAAGATAAAGGACACCAAGTTACATTTGAATTACAGATAAACAAAACTATTTTTTAAAAATTTTTTTAGTTGTTGTTGGACACAATATTTTATTTATTTATTTGTATGTGGTGCTGAGGATCGAACCCAGCACCTTGCACGTGCTAGGCAAGCACTCTACCACTGAGCCACAGCCACAGCCCCTATTTTCTTAATATAAGTAAGTTCCATGCAATAATTGGAACATAATTATATTAAAATAACGTATGTTGCTAATCTGAAATTCAAATTTAACTGGGCATAGTTTGCTTTTATTTGCTAAATCTAGTAATCCAACATGAGAGGAATTTCTTTTTTTAAAAATAATTACTTCAAAAACTTTGGAGGTATGAATGTAGATAAGCTCTTTATGCCCAAATTTGTTGAATGCAATATAGATGGAAAAGTCAGGAACAGGAGACACCAATGTTGGCAGTTCACAGAAACAACTCTTACAAGTCCTATAAGGAACAAATGAGGTAGAAATTTTGAAGACAGAGAGTAAAAATTATTCAACAAAGAGAGATGACAGCTCTGAGGTTAAGAGTCCCCTGTTTCTCCTGAGTTCTAGTGTAGGTGCTAACTCAGTGCCCCTTCCTCCTTATGCAAGTCACCTCCATCACTCTGACCTGTTTTTTCATCTGCATTGTAAAACAGATTGTGCTAATAAGTCCCTTTCAATACTTCAATCCCATGATTCTAAGGACTGACAGTAGAAATAGAATTTACATTGAGGCCATAAAATTAAGAAATTGGGATTTTCACAGACTTTAATTTAAAATTGGGTTTTTACACATCCAAAGTTAACTGTCTGGAGATCCTTATATATCCCATTTTCAAATCTACATCTGAACTAAACAAACAATCACCCAACCATTTAACTAAATCTTCCCATTAAGCTATGATAAAATATTGCATTAAAAGCTTTTGGGGATGTGGCTCAAGYGGTAGCGCGCTCGCCTAGCATGCACGGAGCACTGGATTCGATCCTCAGCACCACATAAAAATAAAAATAAAAATAAAGATGTTGTGTCCACCAAAAACTAAAAACAAATACTAAAAAATTCTCTCTCTCTCAAAAAAAAAAAATAAAATAAAAAGCTTTTGGTTAAGGGCTAGGGTTGTAGCTCAGTGGTAGAGTGCTTGCCTAGCATATGTGAGGCACTGGGTTCCATTCTAAGCACCACATATAAATAAATAAAATAAAGGTCCATTGACAACTAAATTTTTTTTAAAAAAGGCTTTTAGTTGAAAAGCATTTGCTCCTCTTTTATGAGTTAATGGTAACCACGTTAAAAGTTGTACATGAAGAAGTTCAATTATTTAATAGTAAAAAGGAATGTAAAACAAATGTTTTTGAAATTAGCTAAGTCTTCATGCTTCTGGAAAATTTTGTATCTTTTGATAGGCATAATATTGGAATTATAAATTGTTTAATTAAATCCTTTCTAATCCTAAATTCCTGATGACCCAAGGTGAAAAAGCAGCCTTAACTTGAATAGAAACAAATTTGTGAAGAATCCTAAAATAATCTGACGAGGGAATTGGATTATTTTGAATTACTAGTTGTTTTCTATAAGCATTTGGATGAGAAACTCAAGTCAGTTTTTAATGTCATAAAATCAATTTACCAACATGCACTGAAAACTCACTGTGTACCAGTCAGCTCTATCGTATATTATTAATTCCATTTCATAGCTTCAGAGAAGCTCAGAGAGATGAAATCTGTGCCTGAGATTTCAGAACTGATGAGAACACAGCTAGGATTTGAATGTAATTTTGCATGACATAAAGCAACACATTCTTTTTTCTATTTTATGTTTGCCACAAAAACATTTGAGGTATATAAATGTGGAAATTATATACTTAATGTTCTTGTTTTTCTTTCTAAGTTAATTTTAAAAGAACAGAAACAAGAAATAAATATTTCAACAATAAACAAAAGCCTAATTTCACATGCTGGTTTCTGTGTCCAAATCTCTCTTTCCTCACCTGTCTACGAAGGTCTCTTGTCTTCTTGCACATGTTGTCTATAGCAATATTCAAAGTATTACTCCTTTCTTTTTTTCCAGTCTGCAAGGGAGAAAAAAAATGACATAAGCAATGGTATCAAATTACTCTTTATCACTTAGCAATTTGCTTTCTAAATTTCCTGAAAATAACAGCTTGAAAATTCAAGAATAGTTTTCAAAACTGCTATGATATTGCATATGATTCATGAGCATTTCACTTAAGACTAAGTAGAATGGTGATTAAAGCTCATGTTATTTTCTTCTTTAAACTTTTGTAATATTTCTGATACAGGGTTTGATTCAATGTGGCAGTAAGCAGAGCATTATCTCCATGAAATTCAGATCTTCATTCTTAACAAGTCAACTTTTTAACTGCTAAGCATGCAATTAGCTTAAAAGCATTAGATGCCCAATTTGTCAACTTCTGTGGGAGTTTCTGAAGTCATTTTCATGGTGTATAGCATAAGTTATGCAGAGCCATATTGGAGTTTTGCTAAACACTAAATAAAATATGCAGTGCAAATTCATAGCATTTGCAAAAGTTGACCACAATTTTAGCTGACAATATTCCAAGAACAAATTGTTTTAAGTAAGAACTGGATGCTGTTTTTGGCTCTTCAAGATAATTCCTGCAACACCTTTTTATTCTTTGAGCAGAACGGTTCTCTCTGTTACATCCTTAACCCAAATCTTTAGACTATTAAGCACATATAGAGTCACCTTGGTTGATATTTTCTACCTATTATTTTTGTGGGAAACAACTGGATTGAATTTAATCATACTTTTTCTGTGATATTGCATATAAAAGAGATTGGAAAAAATCATTATGCGATTCACCTCTAGGAAAATTGCTGCTTTTAAATTAATAAACTGAAAAGGGCTCTTGAGAGGAGACCTTGAAAATCAGGAAGGCAAGTTTAAGCAACTGATAACTGAGGGAGTTTACACCAGGACCCCGTTAAAAAGGACACCAGGGCAAAGCCTAGACCATGAGCATGTGAGACACTACTCCCGTGACTAAACTCAAAAATCCCAAAATCTTTCTTCAGACAGAAAGACTCCTGAACAAGAAATTTAAGATCATTTATATTCTGTCCTAACCTACCTATTTAGTTTAATCTATTGCCACATCTTCTTAAGCACTATCCTTCACAGTAGATATATTCCTGCATTTTTTTCTTTTCCCCAGTTCTTACATATAACTGAAAGAGCACTGATTTCAGAGAGCATCTCTCCAAACAATACCTATTAAAATCCTTCCCACTCTTTAATGGTTTCCACAACAAATTTTCCTAAAAGATATGCTCAAAAATAAACATCTTCCTCTCCTTCCTCCAATAGCATTTCCCAATATCCTCATTCTATTTCCATGCATGCTCATCAACCATAAAATGCTGTTAAAATCTTGACATTGACAGGTATATATTAAATTTTTAAAAAATTTTTTTTACTTGTAGTTGGACACAATACCTTTATTTAATTTATTTATTTATATGTGGTGCCAAGGATCAAACCCAGCGCCGCCCATGTGCTAGGCCAGCGCTCTACCACTGAGCCACAACCCCAGCCCTATATTAATTTTTTTGACTCTTTAGTACAACTTACATAGAACTTATTGAATAGAATTAACTACTTTGTACGTGAGCAATTTGATTCAAAATACAACATAATTTTAGTTAGAGGCCTGCTGTATGCCAGGAAGATATAAAGCTGGACTCTGAAGATTTCAGCATTGAGCTAAAAGGCACACCCAATTTCCTCTATTATCTGTTAGGTTCAGATTTTCTCAGCAGATGTTTTACTATTATTTAAAGGGTGTAGAAAAATGATCATCACTTTGAGATGATCCTATAGACTGCAAGATTTGGAATCCATGGGTCTATCTCTTCAAATCTCAATACCAGCTTCCAAGTACTGTGATACCCAAAATTGATGCTACACATTTCTAGCTGACAAAATAGAGGACCACTAAGCCTATGCCATATTTTATTTTTGAAGGGCAATGTGGAATGTGTACATGATAGAAACTGTGTCTAGTGAAGAAGGGGGTAAAAAAGAAGGAGAGATAAAAGATATTGAAATGAGGCTTTTTCATCAAACATAAATAAAATTCTGTATATCAGAGCAATGGTGGCAACACACCCAGATAAAAAATAGTGAATACTTCCACAGTTCTTACCCACATTCTCCATTCTAGCAGTACAAAGTTGTGAAGAGTTAATTCAGGGCTATATAAGGCAGCCCCATAAACAGATACACAATGGGCTCAGAGACAGCTCTTAATTTTACCTAAGTTTCATGCATTACTAACTTTAAAAAAATATTTTTTTAACTTTATTTAATTAATTTATTTTTTATGTGGTGCTGAGGATCAAGCCCAGTGCCTCACACACACTAGGCAAGTGCTCTACCACTGAGTTACAACCTTAGCCCCATATTATTAACTCTTGGTTATATCTCTTTCTATTTCATGAAAGTAGAGACATCAGAAAAAAAGGGGGTGAAGGGAGCGGGAGTGGGAGAAAGAATTCTCCCACACATTCCCACACATACCCACACAGTATCAATAATAATATGGGAGACTCCTATRGTGTTGGCTGTAAAAAAAATCACTAGCTTCTATGGTGTGATTCATCAGAACAACTAAAAGATGTCAGTCTTCTCAGACCTAGCAGCAGAGGCATACAAAGCTTTAATAAAGGATGACAGGAGGTGACAGCATGAAGACATTCAATAAGGACAACAATGATGATTTCCTAATTTTTACTCAGAGCTTAACCTTAGTTCAAAATGTTTCCTTGGGTCAAAGACATTTTGTTCTCCAGGTAATGATAAGCAGCCCCTAACATTTAAGGAAATATAAAGTTCTTCATTCTTCCTTCCTTTTCTCTCCCTCTAAGCCCCACCTCCAACCACCCACACCTTTCTTCTTTTTCACCTCTAGTTTTTTATTGGGTCCTTGCTCTATTTATCCAGATTTATTTGGCTTCAGTTGAACCATTTTATGCCTCTTTATTCCTTTTGCATGGCATAAAAATAAATAAAGCAAGGACAAATAGCCCCATCCTATTTAAAAGCCCTCATTCCTTCTGTTTTCAGAGCCTTAACAAATCATCAAGCAATGAGCTAAGACCAAAGGAGAATTCTGTGTTCTGAGATGAGGAATGGAAATGGCAGGATATTAAAACACAACCACAGATAACAGTGAGAACTTTCCTATATTCCAAGTGCTGACAAGAGATGATGCTTCTTAAAGGAATCCTTGACAGGAGCCATTATTGGGTCAGCACAGTCCTGCTATTAAAAAAGGGATGACTTTAAGGGAGTGTCAGGGAAAAGACTGGGAAAATGTGGTGTGGATCAGTATTGCACAGAGCCAGCAGTCATATTCTTCATCAAGAAACAAACTGCAGGAAACATTCTACTGAAAAGAGCAGTTCTGAGTATGATCTTTTGTTCAATGAAATTTCATTAAAATCATTATTGCTTTTTATAAATATGGTCCCCAGTAGGGTTCAGGCTTAGATCTATATAATCTTAACTATGAGTCTTTCCATCAAGTCCACCTCATCATTGCTCCCATATAACTACCATGGTTAATTGTACTCTCTCATGGTTCCCTTAAAGCTAAACTACACATCTGGAAAAAGTTCCTTTATAAATAAACTTCCATTGAATTATCCTAATCTGAATGTTCCATCTGTGTCCTATTGGGACTCTGCTGGAGAGAACTTTCCAACACTGCATTGTCTGATATGCAGTATCTACTAATCACACGTGGCTATTTAAATTTAAGTGTAAATTAATTAAAACATGACATTAAAAATTCAGCTCCTTAGCTCCTCAATTTGAAAAAATCTAAAGTGCTCAATATCCACATATGTCTGGTGACTACTGTATTGTATATCACAAAGATAGAATGAGTTTGTTACTGCAGAAAGATTTATTGGAACGTGTCATTCTAAAACATACATTAAGTTCTTAACTCTTTATGCAAGTCACCTTTCAGTTAGATCAGAATAAATAGAGAGCTAAAAGCCAATAAACAAAATATTTAATCCTTGAGAAAGAGAGGGTAATGATATTTATAGTTCTTTTATAACGCTTGGATTAATAAATAGTCAATCCAATGTAGTCAAAAAATCTTTATTATCTATTATATGAGGATCAATGCTGCATTAACTCAGTGCCCATCTTTGAGCAGCATGCATCTAGTAGTAGATATAGACACAGACACAGTTCTTAGTAGAAGAATCTAGAGTAATGTTTAGGTGGATGAGAGCAATATTCCATTAAGGGTAAGGGAAGGATTGAGGGGAAGGACTGAAGGATGATGGGAGTCAGGCAGGTGAGCACAAGAGCAAATACCCTTCTGGGGAGACAGTGACAACCTGAGCAAAGGCCAAGGTCCATAAAGCATATTTGGTAATCAACATAAAATTATGATGGGAGGACTTCCTGATCCTGGAGGTCTTTTCTTTCCTAAGAAATGAGGTTGATCCTATAGACAGACAGCAGGTGTTATTAAATTTAAACAAGTAAGACAAACAGTCATATCATTATGTCACACTGCACAACAGATTTGAGGCAATTAAGAACACAAACAGGCAGAAGACTGAAACAGTCACAGCAAGAGTCTACAAAAGGAATGAAAACTGTTGAAACCAATACAGTGACAGTTAGGATAAAGAAAAATGGCAGGCCTAAGGACTGTGAGTCAATGAGGTAGGATGATGACTGGCAGGTGCTGGCAGGTGAAGGAAAGAGAACAATCTGGGTTGGTGTCTGGGTTTCTAGCCATAATGACTGGCTGAATGGTGATGTTGTGAACTGAAATGATCATTTCAAGAGATCTGGGTCAACAAAAATGATAATTCAACTTGGAATTGCTGAGGGACCTGTGTTCGCTTAGCTATTGTATGTTCTATGACCAACTGCTTATCCACATTATATCTCACTACAGTATGATACCCTGGAGGGAGAGAAAGCCCTTAGAGCTTTATTTTTCAAAGCACCCAGCAGAGTGCTTTGCACATAGTAGGAGCTCATCAGAATGTAGAG